GCCGATCAATGATTCTCTTTCATCATCGATGTTTCTATCTATCTTTCTCTCCCTTCCTTTCTGAAATCAATAAAAATATTTAAAAAACACACACCAACAAAAAGCAAGAAGGGACTATGGGAACCTGAATCCTCATTTCCAGAAGGACAGAAGGATGTGGGCACAGGTCATGTGAATCCCAGCTTCAGGATTCCTTTAGGCCTGTGTGCCCTCCCCATGCCACTCGGCTGACAAGGTGAGTCACAGCACCTGGAGAGACCTGACCAACTGGGCGTGAGTAGTCCTGATGACTGAAATACTCTACCACCAGCCAGCAGGGCGAGTCCCAGCCCTCCACCCCAAGCTCCCTCCAACAGGATCTGGCCCCATTTCAGCCCTACTCCTCTGGCCTGGCAGAGTCCCCCAAGGAAGTCAATTAAGGAGGAAGTGCCAGCATCACACCCGGAGGACGTCATCTCCTGGCCCGGTACACGCCAGGCTCCCCGCCTTTCTGGAACGTGCTCTGTGCGCTCCTAATCCTGGCCGTTACCTGTACCACACCCTTGGCCGGGAACTTCCATTTTCCCTTCTCCATATGGATGGATGTGACCCACCTTGGGATCTTCAAACCAGACCCAAATGCCACCCCCTCCAGCCTCAAGTCCATTTAAAACCAACTTCTCAGCTGAGCATGTGGAATGTTGCCACATTCTCGCCTGCCCCTTTCAGCACAGCCTGCCTCCCTCAGCGGGCATTCTACCTGGTTCCTCCCCTCTCTTCCTCGGAGCCCACTGAATATGGTTGTGTCCATATTTGATTTTTACTCCCTTTCTCTTAACCCTAGATAGCTGACTCTCAAACCAAAATTAATCAACTTGAAAAATTACAAACTGCTCTGCCGTCTATTGCTCTTTTGGGAACAGAGGCCCACAGGGCAAGACCTGAAGGTTTGGTTTTATTTAACCTCTTAGTCTGAGAGCACCACTGGCCATTCAAAAACTTGGAAGGTCAAAAAACTCAAAACCTACACACCTGTTCTGGAAGCTATTCCCAAATTACCTTTAACCTTCAAGGTGCATCTCACCTGCTCCAAGGTGATAGAAGAGGTGGGGGAAGAAAACAAACCCAGTCAACCCAGAAGGTGGAAAAGCAGACACGGACAGGCCGAGGGTTAATGACAGCAACAGAAAAATAAGCCAGAGAGTAAAGAACCCCCCAAACCAGAGAAGCCTCGGGGACATGCACAGCTGGGAGGGAACAAGCCAGAGAGGGGGCTCAGCACTGCCTCACCTTCCAATCGTCCAATGGGGAGAGCGCTACCCCATTGGAATGGTTAAGGTCGCACACCAACACCTTCAGAATATCCTGAATCTACAGGAAGCGAAAAGGCAAAAACAAGGGCGGGGGACAAAGAGAAAAGTGGCTTAGAGAGAGGCAAGAGAGTCAGGGAAGGAAGAAGAGATGGGTTCGGGGAAATTAAATGCTACAGAAAGAGAAGGGGATCAATACCATGGCCGGCGCCATCTTTCCAAACAGACACTTGCTGCCTTGCCACAGGCAGAAATCAACGCACATGAACAACAGCCCCCTGAGCGAGGCAGTCACACAGCGTGGAGTCACCTGACCAGTGCAGCTCTGAATACGCCCATCACACCCTCTCCTCAGGCCCAGGATGCCAGGGACGAATCTGGCAGGGCTCCACACCCCACCTCCACTTTAAAAAACAGGCTTCCAAGTAAAGGGTTGCTTGAACAAAAGGGATTACAGCTAAAAATAAGTTTGAAAGACACTAATCTGATCCAATAATATCATCTCACAAATGAGGAAACTGAGGCCAGGTGGAGGAAGTGATTTTCCTGAGGCCGCCCAGAGACAGGCTCAAGGCTCCAAATCCAGCGCCTGGGGCTCCTCACTGTACCCTGGGGCTCCTCACTGTACCCTGGGGCTCCTTACCGTACCCTGGGGCTCCTCACTGTACCCTGGGGCTCCTCACCGTACCCTGGGGCTCCTCACTGTACCCTGGGGCTCTCCTCACCATACCCTGGGGCTCCTCACTGTACCCTGGGGCTCCTCACTGTACCCTGGGGCTCTCCTCACCGTACCCTGGGGCTCCTCACCGTACCCTGGGGCTCCTCACTGTACCCTGGGGCTCCTCACCGTACCCTGGGGCTCTCCTCACCGTACCCTGGGGCTCTCCTCACCGTACCCTGGGGCTCTCCTCACTGTACCCTGGGGCTCCTCACCGTACCCTGGGGCTCCTCACTGTACCCTGGGGCTCTCCTCACCGTACCCTGGGGCTCCTTACTGTACCCTGGGGCTCCTCACCGTACCCTGGGGCTCTCCTCACTGTACCCTGGGGCTCCTCACTGTACCCTGGGGCTCTTTTGCTGGCTGTTCTCACAGCCTGGCTTCTCCTGGAGACTGGGGATGAGAAAAACCACCAGATAAGCAGGACCAGTAGCAACTACCCTTTACTGGATCTTTACCCCACGCCAGGCCCTATATTAAGGGATTAATATAAAAACAACAATGTCATTTAAGCTTCATAAATGTAAGACAATATTACCCTGATTTTACTGATGTGGAAACACAGGCCCAAATAGCTTAAACAATTTGCCCCAAACCATATTCCTAGCAGAGGGAGGGGGAGAATTAAGAATTCAAGCCCGGCCATAGTGGCTCAGTTGGTTGAGCATCATCCTGTGCAATGGAAGCTTGCAAGTTCCATTCCTGGTCAGGACATATACCTGGGTTGCAGGTTCGATCCCTGATTGGGGCACATACAGAAGGCAACCAACAGGTGTTTCTCTCTCTCTCTCCCTTCCTCGCTCTAAGCATGTCCTCGGGTAAAAATTTTTAAAAAGGGGGGACAATGGGGGACATCTGTAATACCCTCAACAATAAAAATTAATTTAAAAATAAAAAGAATTCAAACTCAGAATTCTTAACCAGTACTAGATACTCCTTCCACAATCTTTAACCTCCGCCCTCTACTGCTCCCTGCACACCCTACCCCCGGAAGCCAAGACTCACATCCTCAGGCGAATGACCATCAGCAGTGGTTGTCTCGGGGCTACTGCCATTTTTAACCTTCTTTTTCTTCTTAGCTCCTGACGGAGCACCAATGCCTCGCTGCTGCTGGAATTCTCTCAACTGCAAAAAGGAAAGGCGGTGAGACTCATGACAGCTACAAACCCCTGGATTTACATCTCACAGTTTAAAAAAAAAAAAAAGGCAGTAATAGCATTTAAACTAAGTCTTCTGACTCTGAGTTCTGGGGGTTACGCCATAAATCAGTAGCTGCCAGGGGACAAAACCAGAGGTAGAAGGGGTTAACGTTTAAGTGATCAGACATAAGGACCCTTCTTCATGCATCTGTTGGAGATGTACACCACTGCTTCTCAAACTTTTGCATCAGTGTAGCTTAATGGCAGAAGGCAGTGAAGGCGCACCCCTAGAGAATCTGGGATGGTAACAGAAATAAGACAACCCAAGCACCATTTCAGAGACGTCTATTATAATCTTACAAATCTACGTAAATGTCATCCCTAAGTATTCTATATATATTAAAGCCAAAGCAACCGAACAAACCAGTTGACCAGTCACTGTGACGCACACTGACCACCAGGGGGAAGACACTTCATGCAAGAGCTGCCCCCTGGTAGTCAGTGGGCTTCCACAGCCAACCTCCCATAACCCCGATTGGCCCTGATTGCCGGCCAGACTGAGGGACCCCATGCGTGCACGAATTCATGCACTGGGCCTCTAGTATTAAGATAAAAGGCTTTTCCTCTCTCAAGAGAATCCAGCAAAACTGGTGCTATTTCTCCTGCGGCACTCAGAGCACTCCATGTTGAGATGAGGCTTGGGAAAGATTCCCAGCTGTGAAGTGCAGTGCTCCGCAGAGGATAAGCAGATCTCACTCCAAAGAGCACTGACTGCGGGCCAATCTGATTCCAGAATAATAGGGAATTAGAACATGAGTTACGAGAATTCAGAATAAAAATTTCAAAGTCTCTCTGGAGAGTTAGAGACCTGGGAGAAAACCAAACTAAACAAAACACATTCTCCCCATCGACACCCAGAGATATGGTCAACGTTTCGAGCTCACCAGTGCAATGCAGGCTTTTCACGCTATCAATGTCTACGGATGACGTACAGTCTGGAGTCAGGGAGCCTGAAACCTCTCTGACCTAATAAGTCCCATAGTCCCGAGTCCCCTTGAAGCTGGAAATTTGGGCCGTGACCAGAGAACCGGAAAGGGGATGAAAACACTAGGAGACTGGGTCGTCACATCAAACACGGGGCTTAGGGCGATAATGACAGTTTCCAGGGGGATTGTGACACAACTACATTCCACTCCTCCCAACCGACGCCCGAGTCGTCGCTCCGCGCTGGGGGAAGGGAGCGCCGGGCCCGGATCCGGGTCCCTGGAGATAGCAAGCCCTGGAAGCCCTGGGAGCCCAGGAGGTCCGGTTCTGGGCGGCAGGAGGAGAGGGCCGAGCCTGGAGCCGGGAACCTCGGGGGTCACCAGCCCAAAGTCACCCGGAGCGGACAAGCGAGGGCGGGAGCTGGGCTGCGGGGGGTGGGGGGGCGGGGCTGGTGAGAAGACTTTCGGGGGGACGCCTAGGGGCGCCCGGGGTCTGGCCCCGTGTGCCTCTAGAGGCAGCACAGACCCTGACGACGGTCCGGCCGTCAAGGGACCTTGGGCTAAGTCGGGGAGCCGCGACTCGGCGCCTTTTACCTTTTTCCTGGCCTCCGCCAATTTTTTCTGTCGGACTTCTTCCGACATCTCGGGAAGGGGAGGGAGACGGGGGGGCCACATCACCGCGATCCCGGAAACCACCTCGGAATTGCTTCCGGCAGCCACCGCGCATCTTGGCGAAAGAAGCTGAAAAGGAGGGATCAGAGCGATTATAGGCAGCAGCTGCGTGGGCGTGGCCTTAGTGCTTCAATATCATTGGTCTATGAGAAAGATGAAAGCGAAGGGGGCGTGGCCAGGCCGGCTCCGGCCGGGAGGAACAGGCGGAGTCACAATGAAATCTGTCTCCGCCCACCTCTGGGGGGCGGGGCCCGACCTCGCCGGGTGCGCGCGCAGCTCGCTGTGTGGCGGTTCCCGGTCTCCGTCGCAGGACTTTGCTTACCTGGCGGACCTGAGAGGTCGCTCTCCCGCCCCCGACCTGGACCCTCCTGCACTGCAGACCCCCCCGCAACGGGGGCCCCGGACCCCAGGACTGAGGAGGTGGGCTAGGAGCGGACAGCAGGGGATAAGCTCATCCCTTCACGTCCCTTTCCCGACTCCCCACTTTCCACAGACCCCCACCAGCCCCTCCGCACCCGCCATCCCTCGGGATCTCCCCTTCCTCGGGGATCTCTCCCTTGGCCCCGGGAGCATATCTGCCCCCTCCCCGACTGCCCCGTCGCTCCTCCCACACGCCACAGTACCCCTTCTTCCCGGAGCGCATCCTTGTTCCAATCAGCCATGTCTCCCTCGGATTCCTCTCCAGGACGCAGCCAGGACTTTCCAAAAGTTGCCGCGGGGCCTTCCGATCCCCTGTGAGTATGCCTGAGCCCCGTCCCCACACTCTCGCCCTCCGCCCGGTAAGGCCCTGCTCTCCCGGCCCCCTGGAAGGCCTCCCCCCAGCCCGCTGGTTCTGCGGAGAAACTCCAGGTCATCTCCCGGTCCTTCCCCTTTCCCTCGTGCCCTCCAAGCTGCAGACAAGAGGCATGTGCTGTCCTTGTCAGGGGCACCCAAGTGTGCTCTGTCTCTCCCCGTCCCTGACACAGCCGGATGGATGGTGGCTCCTTTTCCACACCACCGTCCCCTCCCCCCCCACCCTACCCACACGTAAGCCACTCGGGCCCCTCACACGGGCGGGCTCTCCTGTCTCAGAGCATTTGGATGCCCTGTCCTCCGTCTGGGATGCTCTTCTTCCAGCTTTTTGCCAAGCTGATGCCTACACATCCTTGACAATTGAGTTTCCCCAGAGCAGCCTCACCCCCACTTCTGGCTCAACCCAGTGACCCTGTTAGACATCCCCTTAGCACACTGTACTTCAGCTTCGACGCACTTTCCCACCTTGTGGTTAGTTGATTGCTAATTTGTCATTCGCTCGTTCATTTGGCCAATGGTATGGCGTGCCTACTATGTGCCAGGTATGGTTGTTGTAGACGCAGTGCATTCGGCAGTAAGCATAACAAAGTCCTTGCCCTCGTGGCGTTTACACTCCAGTGATGTAAGGCCAACAGTGAAAATAATCTATACACTAAAAGTCTAAGCGACTATTGCTGCGGAATGACCAGAACAACCGGTCGCTATGATGCGCACTGACCACCAGGGGGCAGACGCTCAGTGCAGGAGCTGCTCCCTGGTGGTCAGTGCACTCCCACAGGGGGTGCACCGCTCAGCCAGAAGCCGGGCCAAGGGCTGGTGAGCGCAGTGGTGGTGGCCGGAGCCTCTCTCCTGCCTCTGAGGCAGGGCTAAGGAGCAGCGAGCTGAGCAATAAGGAGCAGTGAGCAGACGGGCGGTAAGGAGAGAGGGCTCCCAGACAGCGAGAGGGCACAGGCTGGGCTGAGGGACCCTCCCTCCAGTGCACGAATTTTGTGTACCGGACCTCTAGTATTATCAATGAAAGGCATGACATGTCAGATGTCATAAAACATCAGGACAAAGGGATAGTGAGTGGTTGAGGAGAGGCCATTTATTTTTTAAGATATATTTTTATTGATTTCAGAGAGGAAGAGAGAGATAGAAACATTAATGATGAGAGAGAACCATTGATCAGTTGCCTCCGGCACACCCCCTCCTGGGGATCGAGCCTACAACCCGGCCATGTGCCCTGACTGGGAATCGAACCGTGACCTCCTGGGTCATAAGTTGACGCTCAACCACTGAGCCACACCGGTCAGGCGAGGAGAGACCGTTGAAATGGGTGGTGAGAGAAGCCCTTTCTGATGAAGCGTGGCCTGTGAGTAGGGCTTTGAGTGAAGATCTCTGGAGGAAGAGCTAATGGTTGGGAGTTTTCTGTTTGGGACGAGGCTATCCGTTCCATGAAAGCAGAGGGTCGGGCTTGCTGTCTTCTCCATCGCTGAACCCCGGGAGCCTTGCCAGTGCCTGGAAGATGGTGCCTACTCACTCTTTGGTGACTGCCCGTCCTAAGAATAGGAACCACATCTTCCTCGGTCTCTTTCTGCATCATGTGTAGACCGTTGGTCCAACACCCGTTTCCTGGAGATAAGCAGTGCACCAGGCACTGGCCTGTGCAGCCTTTGGAAGCAGAAAGGCAAAGATGGACTACAGCCACAGACTGTAGACTCTGTTATCTAAGAGATTATAAACCCAGCGACTTCGCCAACTGGAGAGAAGAATCCACATAGACCTGAGGCGGAATCTCTGGGTTCAGACTGGGGGCCAGGGTAGGCCCTTTGGTTAGAATTGGGTTTGGCTGGGAGTGAAAGAAAACCCAAAATAGTGGTGGCTTAAACAGTCTTCAGGGACCCAGGCCTCTGTCTTATTCCACCACACCTTCAACGTGGCTTCTACCTCATCATCCAAAATGCTGTTCACTCCATGTTACTTCCATATTCAGCTGGCAGGAAGGAGGAAGGCCAGTTCCCAGGCATAGCATACACCTTTTCTGATTAAGTTCCACTTACCAGACTAAGTTATAGGGCCACATCTACTTGCAAGGGAAGCTGGGAAATGTGGTCACCTTTGGGGTTGGGTGGTGGCAGAAGCAGGGAGTGGCTGCTGGGGGACAACTTCTGGTTCTGAATGTGGAAACGGCCAGTCCAGCTAATGGCTATTTGTGCCACTCAGCGGCCATCTTCCAAGGGTGGCCAGGCTGATGGGGCCCGCGAGGATTCTCCGCACCTTGACATTCAGAAGCTGAAGGAGAAGAGGGACGTGCTGGACAAGGAGATCTCCCAGTTAATATCTGAGTAAGTCTAGTTGGGTTCCTCAGTGTACTTAACTTGCCCAGTGACTGCAGCCCAGTCATTCCTGCTCAGCATAAAGACAGAACTGCACCGCTAGATTCAGGCTGCCTTAGCAGCCTCTCTCGGGGCCCACATTATCTGCCTCTGCTTCGTCTGCACCCAGCCTGCTTTCCTCCCTGCAGCGGGGTTTTCAGTGCCCGGGGGAAGCTGGTTCTTCGGCAGCTCCTGAGTTTCCCAGCCCCTTGCTCCAGCCGCACGGCTCAGGCTGAGCAGCTGTTGAATGTGCGTTTCACACTTGAGGGGTTTCTGACTAGCACCCATGTGCCCATCAGTGAATCCCTCAGCCGTGGCCAGGGTCACACCGTACCAGTGTGGTTGGTACAGGGAGCTTTTGCCAGGGACACATCCCGTTACTGTCAGCTTCAGTGGGCAGGGTCTATCCTGCCTTCTCTCTGTCGCAGTGCTGAGCACCTGGTAGGCCCTTTGTGAACATTTGTTAAATAGATGTTACTCCCTGAACCTTGGGTCCTCATCGCTTTCTCTTTCTCCATCCCTCCCCCCAGAGGCTACAGTGTGGATGAGCTGGAGGACCACATCTCCCAGCTCCACGAGTATAACGACATCAAAGATGTGGGCCAGATGCTGCTGGGCAAACTAGGTGAGCGGCGGGCCCCAGGGAGCAAACAGGCTTAGAGGGAGTCCCTACCCCCCACCGGTGGTTGGATTTTCCTCCTGGGCTACTGTTTGTTCGTTTTTTTCTTTTAAAATTTTTATTGATTGACTGATTGATTTGAGAGAGAGAAAGCGGGGCGGGGGGGGGGGGGAAAAAAAAAAAAATTGATTTGTTGTTCCACTTATTTATGTATTCATGGGTGATTCTTGTATGTTCCCTGAGCTGGGATCAAACCTGCAACCTTGGCGTATCAGGGCAACACTTAACCAACTGAGCTACCCGGCCATGGCCATCTCCCGGGCATTCTAACTTGCCGACCCTCCCGTCCTTCTCAGCTGCCCCGCTCCCTGAATGCCCCTGCCGCAGGGAGGGCTTCTCTGTTTCAGTCAGGAATGGGTCCCAAACGGGGGGAAAGAGAAGACAGGATGAGGGAATTATCGATGGTGAAGAGGAGGATGAGCAGGGCAGGGAGAAAGCAATGCAAGGTGACTGTGCCTAGTGGTTAGGACATGTGCTTGCTAGATAGACCCCAGCTTGAGGCCTGTCCTTTAGGTCCCAGGAGCTCGAGCAGGTGGCCTGTCCGCTGTCACTTGCTCAGTGAGTGTTTACTGAGCACCTGCCCTGTGCTGCTCTACAGGCATGGGGACACTTCGGAGAAGTGCACACGTGAAAGGCTCTGTTTTCATGTGACTTCTGTGTCCGTCCATGTTGGTGGGGAGGGGAATGGTCACTAACTAAGGAACACAAAGGAATTATAAAACGTGTTAAGTGCCATGAAGGAATGAATCAAAGGGCAGAGATGGAGAGGCAGGAACAGGTGGCAAGTGGGGGCGAGGGGAGGCCTCTGAGGGTGAGCCCATCCCATGGGAGGAAAGAGGGCCTTTGAGGGAGCAGGAGGAATGTCACCAAATGGCCAGGGCAGGCAGCGGGGCCAGGCTAAGGAGGCCGGGTTTGCAGCAGGCGGGTTTACAGGAGGTGCTGCATAAACGCAAATGTGTATTTCCATTCTCAGCAGATGGCTGCAGCTGCTCTGGGTGGAGAAAAAATTGGAGGGGAACTTTGTTTGGTTCCTCTGCAAAGTGGGGTAAGGGTTCAGTGAGCTTAGTTTGGGATGGCCAGGCAGGGGGTTATCTTGGCAACTGGGGGAGCAGGAAGAAGGTGCAGGAGTGGGGGCTGGGTGGTCAGGGATGTGGCCATTCTCCCACTGGACATTCATCCTTCCTTTCAGCCGTGATCCGAGGTGTCGCCACCAAAGAGTTGTATCCAGAATTTGGCCTGGACATGAGTGACTGAGCGGAGGCTCCCAGCGCCTTGTCCACGGACACTGGGACGGGCGATGTGGCCATGAGAAGTGTGAGAGCCCAAGCAGTGCACCTCCAGGCTTTCCAGCAAGCACGTGTCAGCAGCCCTTTTCCAGTGAGCCCGCCCGAGGCAGGAGGGAGCCCGGGGAAGCAGAAGGTGTGTTTCCAGCTCCAGGACTCCCGAGTGGTCCAGTGACACCTGTGCATGTATGTACGTTGTCCTATTTGTAAATAAACATGTAGATAATCTTGATGTGAATCTGGATGCTGTCCCCCTCCTCTGATAGCCCCATCTCACCTGGGAGCCAGCCTGCCTTTGTTAGAACAATCTTACGTGAGCCGGGCACTGTGCTAAGTGCTTTACGTCCATTATCTCAAATGCTAAAACCCATCCTATGAGGATTTAGTTTTGCTGTCCCCACTTTTCAGATGAGCAAATTGAGGCTCAGAGAGGCAAAGTGACTTGCCCAAGGTCACACAGCCAGTGAGGAGCAGAACAGGGATTCGAGCCCAAGTCTAACTCTGAAGCTGTTGGTTTGCAATGCTGCCTTTCTGGGTTGGGGACAAGCAAGTAAGAGCTGAGAGTGAAATAGCAACATTGAGAAGATTTCTTACCTTGTAAGCTGATCTGCAGAATGAGGGTTCCGATCCCTAACTGTAACCCCTGCCAAGCGAGGGTGAGCTGTCACTTCCTCACTGGGTGTCGCTTACCGTGACCAGCTATCCCTGGCAGGGTGAAACTGGAGTGTCGCAACTGCTCCGTGCAATCCAGAACGACAGGCTTTCACACCAGACCTGCTAAGAGTTCTGACTGTTCCAGCTGCCGCTCTGGCCCTGTCCTCTGGACATTCACATAAGAGTTCAGATGTGACAGCAGCTCTTGGGGACAGGCTGGCATGAAGTGAAGTAAGAATAGTTTCTAAAAACCAACCAATCAAGAAAAATATATTTAAAAAAAAATTTCAAGTCAATACCAGGAGCAGGGAGCCACGGTCTCTCGGTCTCTGCTCGCCTGCCAGCAGGAGGTCAGGGAACTAAGAAACAATGACATGTTTGATAAAAGGGGTTCCGGGAGCACATTTGAGTGGCACCCAACCTGGAACATGGAGAAACTTCCCGGGAGAAGAGACATCAATGCCTGCTGTTAGAAGGAGGCAGCCAGACAGGGATGCGGGAGGGCATTCCAGGGGGACGTGGCATTTGCAAAGGCCCGGAAGCAGAGAACTTGGGTCCAGGGCACGAAAGGACTGAGTGCAGGGGGAGAGTGAATAGAAAAGGAGCCCAAACACAGTCCAGCGCAGCTCTGCGTTGTGAGCGATAGGGAGTGGGTGCAGTTTCACTTCCTGCAACTCACATGCTGGATGATTTAACTCTTAGGATGTAGAAAGTCCGATAAAGAGCCCGGGCAGGTAGCTCAGGTGGGTAGAGCATTGTCCCAACACGCCAAGGTTTGGGGTTCCATCCCCGGTCAGAGCACATACAGGAAGCAACCAATGATGCATAAATAAGTGAAACATCTTCTCTCTTTCTCTCTCTCGTTCTCTCTTTCCAAATCAATCAATCAATAAACATTTTAATCCAATAAAGACATGTAGGAAAAAGTAACGGAGGGAATGCACCAAAATAGTAATCATGCTTATTTAAGTAGCAGGATTATTGACTTTTTTTCTTTTTCCCCCATATTTCTATGCAGCACTCAAAGTCACCATTCTGTTGGCAATACAGAAGCTGTGGGACCCACACCTCCACCCCCCCACCACAGCACCTCTTAACTCCTGAGTTCTCAGCCTGGCTTAATTAGTCCTGGCCTCCCTGTAACTGATGCTTGCTTTCTTTATTTCTTCCATCCCCTTTTTGGCATCAAACTTTACATCGATGTTTCTTTCTCTCTCTCTCTCCCCCTTCCTTCCACTCTCTCTAAAAATCAATGGGAAAATATCCTCGAGTGAGGATTAACCAAATAAAAATAAAAACTTATAGCAAGATATCTTTCCTCCTGTCCCTTAACTCTATACCAGTTATTTTGCTTAACTCTAATCTTACTCTCAACCCTAATTCCACATGTTACTAGAAAGCAAGGACACTTGTCACTTGTTCCCTAAGCCCCTCGCGTCTTTACAAATTAGATGAGCTGGAGTCCCCCTCTTGTTGCTGTGGCCTTGCTTTCCGGCAGTCGCCCTGAGTTGCATTTCTTCTGGAAGGCAGCAAAGGCACTTGGGTAGATTCCAGCTTCTGAAGCTGAGGGCGAATACACTGCCAGTGCTCCAAAGACTTTTGCATTAGGAGCCAATTTTAATATTTTTTAAATATATTGTTATTGATTTCAGAGAGGAATGGAGAGGGAGAGATAGAAACATCAATGATGAGAGAGAATCATTGATTGGCTGCCTCCTGCATACCCCACACTGGGGATCAAGCCCGCAACCCGGGCATATGCCCTTGACTGGAATCGAACCCAAGAGCCTTCAGTCCACAGACCGACACTCTATCCACTGAGCCAAACCAGCCAGGTCAGGGTCCAATTTTAAGGCACTGAATAGGACGCTTGGAAGGAAAGCAGCATCTGGGACCATTTCCTCCTTTTGCGATTCCCTTCTCCCAGATGTCATGGTGAGAGGCTGCCCCAAGGGGGCAGTGTCCACTCAGAGATGAGCCCAGCGGCTAGGAGGCTACCCCTGGAGGGCCTCGCTGGGAAGTCAGAGGCCACAGAGTAGATTCTCCCAGCGCCCCTTAGAGAAGAGAGTGTTTTCTCTGGCAGCAGTCCTCCCAGGAGTATGGAGTGAGACCCCTCCTCCCCCCAAGTCAGTAAGAAGCCAACTGGTTGTGAGATGTGGATAGAGAGTGACATTTCTCAGGGCCTGCGGAAAACAGGCCGCCCGGGGGAACTCTGACCTTGTAGTGTGCAGTCTGTTTGATCACATCCAGGGCCAAGTTCCCTGAAAATATTTATCACCTGGCAAGACAGAAGTTCAAAACACAAGTTCAAAACCGCCTGCATTCTCGTCCCTGGGAACCGAAGGGGTCATTTCAGGGCAGCCTGACCTCACCGAGGGAGTGTCACTGCTTGGCACCTCACATTATTTATTTATTTTTTTAAAGGTGTTTTTACAGTAACATGAGGATATGTTTATTGCTTTTGAGAGAGAGAAGAGAGAGAGAGAGAGAGAAACATCAATCAGTTCCTTTCATATACACCCTAACTGGAGATGGAACCCACTACAGCCAGGCCAGCACCCCACTTTAGCTTTGCTTAGAAGAAGGGGACATGCCCTAACCGGTTTGGCCCAGGGGATAGAGCTTCGGCCTGCGGACTGAAGGGTCCCGGGTTCGATTCCGGTCAAGGGCATGTACCTTGGTTGCGGGCACATCCCCAGTGGGGGTGTGCAGGAGGCAGCTGATCGATGTTTCTCTCTCATTGATGTTTCTAACTCTCCCTCTCCCTTCCTCTCTGTAAAAAATCAATAAAATATATTTTAAAAAAAGAAGAAGAAGAAGAAGAAGAAGAAGAAGAAGAAGAAGGGGACACCTTGGGAAGGGAGAAAGAGGAGGAAGGCCAGGTAAGGGGCCCAGCTACAAGCAAAGGTTTCCCCTGAGAAGGTTTGGGTGGTAGTAACAACCAACATTAGGAAACACTGCGGGTCAGTGGCTAGGTGAGGTTCTCCCATGTATCCCAGTTCAGTGTCCCCAAACTGAAGCTCGGGGAGGAGCTATCTGCTCAAGGTCACAGGTCTAAACCTCAGAGCCTGGCTGCCATGTGCTGTTCTACACGCCCGGCAGAGGCTCATCCTCTCTTGAGTATCTTACCCAAGGTCATGCATTAATAAAAGGAGTCAGAACTTGAACCCAGAACTCTCTAAGTTAAGCCCAAGGTCTTAACCACAAATCTCTGCTGCACTTCTTACAAGTTGTATCTGCACATGGCCCTGACCCAGCAGCCAGGCCAGCGTTCAGAAATGAACAGCCTCAGCTTTGACCTTGGGCTTGGCCTTGGCCCCTCTCTCCTAATTTCTCTGAGTAAGAGACTTTGCTCTCTTCTCAGTGAGCCCCTCATTCCCAACATCGGGAACTCTGAACAGGAGCCGATCCTCGCCTGACCTCTGCCTCTCTCAGTTTCTTGTTTCATCCCAGAATCCCACAGGATCTCAGCTGCAATGAAAATCCGGGCAGCTAACACGCTGAGCACATGCTCTGTGCCAGGCCCCAAACCTAGCGCTCAGTGTGGCTATTGCATGTTTGCCTAATGGTTATCCCCATTTTCCAGATGAAGCAAATAAAGCTCCGAGAGGTTAAATCACTTTCCCAAAGAAACACAGGTAAATAGCGGACTCAGAGATTGAGGGCTCCAAGGACATGCTCTTTTAAAGGCCTGGGAATAATTTCTAAACCTCTGAGCATCACAAGTATCCGAGAGGGCTTTTTAAAATAAAATTTGGGCCTTGGTCAGTGATGCTCAGTGGTTGGAAAGTCGTCCTGTGAACTGAAGGATCAAGAGTATGATTCCCAGTCAAGGGCCTGGGTTGCAGGTTCGATCCCCTGCCCCGGTTGGAGCGTGTACAAGAGGCAACCAATCGATCAATGTGTCTCCCTCACATCGATGTTCCCTTCTCTCCGCACCCCCTTCTACTCTCTCTAAATGTCAATGAGAAAAAATATCCTCAGGTGAGGATTAACAAAAAAATAATAAAATAAGTAAGTAACAATTCGAGTCCCTAGCCCCTCCCTCGGGATTCTGATTTTGCAGGCCTGAGGCAGACTTATATATTTTTTAATGAGCAACCCAGGTGTCTTGGTACCTGGCCTCTCCAGTGAGTGTTCCTTAACAATTGACAAATTGCTTTTAATAACTTTTAATAACAAGTAATAATGTCTGATCAAATCCTGCCTCCAAACCAGCTCTCTCTAAACCCACCTCCAGAGCCACGGGCCCCAGAGCCAGCTCTAGGCCAAACCCAGGTGGCTTTCCTCTGGCTTCTCCCCAGAGCTCCCCGAGACCCAGGCATTTGTCAGCTCTGTTCCTGGGCTGGAGTTTGCCTGCTGCTCCACCCTCCACCCTGGCACCAGCAGACCTGCCCGGCTGGTTTGCCAGGGAGGAGCCGGTCCTGCTTGCCTTCTTAGGGCTCTTCTAGGTCCTGGCTTACTAGGGGCTCAGATAGGACCTGGAGAGGTTGGGAGTGCGGACCACATGGAGAAGAGTTCTGGTCACGGAGTCACTGAGCACAGGCTTCTCTGCTGATCACAGGGGCTCTGGAAGCCCCAGGACAGCCCCACCACTCCTCCAACCACACCTGAGCCGCCCGCCTGATGCTTGTCTCTCTTAGTCAACCTGCACCACCCCCAGCAGCATCCTGAGCCCAGTCTCACCCACGCAGGAACTTCTTTGTGTGACTAATATCAGTCCCTCCTGTTATCCAGCCCATCTCCAGATGAGTCCCAGGTCTCCAGCGGAGGGAGGTGCTCAAAGGAGGGACTGACGGGATATGCAGGGGAGATCCGGATGTTGATAATACGGTGGTGGATATGGCTTTTTGTTTGTTTTTTATCCTGTGGCCACACAGAGAAAGCTCAGCGTGGTGTGCCACGTATAGACAGATCCAGGAGGCTGGGCTCCTCCTCTCCAGGCCTCAGTTTCCACATCTATAAAGTAGGTAAAATAATACCCACTGTGGCCACTTCACAAGTGATCATAGATATAAAGGCTGGTTTAATGATCACAGAGACAAATGTCAGCTCATTATATGATGATATGCTTGTGTGTTCTAAGCATATTTCTGGTCCCTGGTGAATGCAAGGTCCTTTTGGCTTAAAGTGGAGCCTTAATGAGCCAATCTTCTGGGTGCAGTGGCCTCTGGGGAGGGGTGGAGGGAGGAGGGCTGGGAAGGAATAAGAGAGAGGGCATGTAGAGAGGGGGAGAGGGGAGTAGGCTGGGAGTGTATGAAGAGAAAACTTTTGCCTTGAAAGCTGTAGTATTTGGGCATGGATACTCATTCATTTATTCGGGCATTCATTCATTCATCCAACAAGTATTTTTCCAGGCACTGCTCTAACCTATGCGGACGCAATAGTAAGGAAAACAGACAAACATCCCTGTCCTTGTGGAGCTTACATTCTAAGGAGGGGAGACAGACAATAAAACAGTTGCCAGGCAGGCAACTGGCAAATGTGGGAGCCTGTGGGTTTGTTAATGAAGTTGCTAGTGTTTCTGAGAGCACATTTCGTATACGGAATTATTTGCACTATATTTGGCTTTAAAAAGTCTTTCTTGAAATAAATCAACCCAATAGTTTAACTTAAAATTTAAAGCTCAACTTACAAAGCTCAAGTTGCTTACACATTTGGCACAATTTAGCAATCATTGTTCATTTCTAACCTTTCAGGGTTAAAAACACCTACTAAGGAAAACATTTTACCATCCCAAGGGATTTGGGGTGGTTTTTCCCTGCAGACTGAGGCTGCATGTTGACCAAATATTTGGGCATGACTCAGGGGTACCCCTGCCCCCCACAATCCTGAGATCGAGATAAGCCACTCTGACCTCTTTTATAATCTCTGTGTCAATAAGGACTCCAAATGAGGTGATGTTGTTACGGGAAAGGAGACCTGGCCCTTAGTGAGGCCGCCTAGAGCCGGCTGGTAGGGTGTGGGTTCTTGACTTCGTGTAGAAAAAACTTTCACAATACAAGCCTAGGTGAATTTTAGAGGGTACTTATCAAAGCTGGGGGCGGTGACACAGGAAACGGCTGGGGAAATAAGCCTAGGCTGGTCTGCTTTGGCTCACCAAGAAGTCAGAGAAAAGGGACCTTGGGGACAGGGTCGGGGCGGGGGGGGGGGGGGGGGGGGGCGGGTATTGCCACTGCCCATTGCTCCCCTGGTTTCAAGCCTGAGATGCATACCAATGGGGGAAGGTGGGAGGGGGAGGAAGGCGAGGGCTTGCTCACCCTATGACCTTCGTTTTGAGTTTTTAAGGCTGGACATTTAGGGGAATTCTTGCGGGGGGAGGGGGGGTGGCATATGGCACTAATTGGACTTCCCGGAGTAGGGTGATTTAAGCCATTTACCCTCTGGTTGGGGAGAAGTGCAAACGATTTACTCTCAAGTGTCCTTGGTTTAGGGAAGATAGGATTACTGGACAGCTGCAAACTGCTGTTTAACTTTCTGCCTCAGTTGCCCTATTCCTAGCTTACTAGCCTGTTTCAGTGTGATCGCCTATGTCGCCTGCGTTCCAGTTACCTATTGAGATTTGCCAATCCCCTCTGCCCACCGAGTTTTCCCCTCCTTTGGATTGGATTCCACTAATCCAAGTATTTGATTTTATTCTGAATTGTCTACGTGCAGAAATATATATTCCCATGTTTCCTATCTAACAAGACCACAACTTTAAGACAGGATTTGATTATGCATATCACCCCTGGCTCCAAGGTCTCAATAGGAAAATCTCACTGGGGACACAACTCAGGGCTGGCCTAGGTCCCACCAAGGTCAAGATAGGGAGGTCATGGTGAAGAGAGATTACGAGCATGGGCTCTGGAGCCAGGGTACCCAGTTCAAACCTACCCTTGACTGGCTGTGAGGCCCAGGCAAGTATTACCTTCTTAGGCCTCAGTTTCCCCATCTGTAAAATGGGGATTAAATTCCCTGGGGATTCTGGTCTGAGGGAGGGCTGGTGTAAGAGGGAGGGGGTGGTAATCGGAGGTCTGGAGATGCTAAACAAGAGGAAGGGGTGGCAGTGAATATGGCTCGAGTAAGCACAGGTGGAGGTACCTGCTCATGGCTCAGCCTCGCCACGGTTAGGGTGACCCTGAAGAGGGGAAGACAGGTCTGAAATCACCTCTGGGCAGAGATTCAGGAGGCATGCCGGTTAAACTGATGTCCAGCAGCTTGGTCAGAAATCATGGAGGGGCAGGTCCTATGCAGACGAAGGTGCCCTCTGCTAGGCAGGATGTCTCTTCCGAGCAGTTTTCCTTACCCATACAAGGGGGATAATCGTTAGTTTCATGTCAGGTGGTCGTGGGAGCAGCTGAGACCTTGAATGTAAAGCTCTTAGCACAGAGCCGGCACACCAGAAGTCCTCAGTAAATGACAGCTGCTGTTATTCATATCACTGTCATCATCTTCCCTTCAGGTCACCTGGCCTGCTGCCCACCAAACCTGCCCAGGCTCTGGGCCGGGCCCTGGGCCCTGGGAGCCATTTGCAGCGATGGCATCAGTCTAGCCTTTCAGGAAAAGAGTGTGGCAGCTCATTTCCGCCTTCACTTTAAGTTATCCCTGTAAGTGCCAGAGAGGCCAAGGGCTAAGGGCCCTTCCGCAGGAACAAACATCGAACACGCTGGCTCTTAACCCCGAGAGGGTAAATAAGATGACAGAACCTAGCTTGAGCTCTTCACCAGAGTCCTGGCTCCAGTGGCAGCTGGGCCTTCCTCAGAGAGCCTGTGAGCTGGCCACCCCCACAGGGTCTGCAGGAAGGAGCCAGACCTGCCGGGCAGACAGGGAGAAATGGCCACGCTCTGTTGTTCAAGGAAAGAAGCCACTTGTCACACACTGGGTATTATTCCACTTTGCTGAAGAAAATTAACCATTTGGGTTCATTCCACACACACATGCTAAACCCATACACAGGAGAAGGAAAACTGTGTCCTCTACACGCAGTACTTCCGACACCGGGCACGTGGAGTTTTTCACACCAAGCGACTCTGCAGCTCTCATTAGGCCCAGACGGGTGTCCTAGTTTAACTCAAATCTGACACTGCCTGGAGCCAACAGATTGCACAGCTTAAGGTTCAGATGCTAATCATGAGTCCAGGCGGTCACCTGTACTGCTGACCGACGGGCTATATAAATCAGGAGTTCCCACAACCCCCTCATGTTTGATATTTGCTTGAACAGTTCACAGATCTCCAAGAAACACTTATGTTTACCACTTTATTATAAAGGGTACAGTCAGGAACAGGCGAATGGACGCGACGCACAGGGCAGGGTGAGAGAAGGGGTGAGGGGCGCTCTCCGGGTGTGCCCCCCTCAGCGCCAAGGTATGTTCACGAACCCGGAGCTCTCTGAGCCCCGCCACGAGGGCTCCACTCCAGACCTACCGAATCAGAATCCAAGAGTTTGGGTTAGAACCTGGATTCTCAACGATCTCTCCAGACAATGTTTGTGTTTTTTAATTGACTCTTTTAGTAAGTTGTTTGCAGAAAACTTGAGAGTATAGAGCATTCCCATATACTCGGCAGTTTCCCATAATATTAACATCTCACGTGAGTTTGATATATTTGTTGTGGGTTATTGGGAGGAAGCCCTCCAATGTAAAGGGCCATTTTCATCACATCACATCACATCAAGAGGCCTGGCCAGTGTAGCTCAGTAGGTTGATCTTTGTCTCATGCGCCAGGAGGTAGCCGGTTCCATTCTCGGTCAGGGCACATGGCCGAGTTACGCACTCGATCCCCAGTGTGGGGCGTGCAGGAGGCAGCCAATCAATGATTCTCTCTCATCATTGATGTTTCTATCTCTCTCTCCCTCCCCCTTCCTCTCTGAAATCAATATATATAATTTTTAAAGTTGAACAGCTTTTTTTTTTTTTTTTTTAAATATATTTTATTGAGTTTTTACAGAGAGGAAAGGAGAGAGATAGAGAGTCAGAAACATCGACGAGAGAGAAACATCGACCAGCTGCCTCCTGCACACTCCCCACTGGGGATGTGCCCGCAACCAAGGTACATGCCCTTGACCGGAATCGAACCTGGGACCTTTCAGTGCGCAGGCCGACGCTCTATCCACTGAGCCAAACCGGCTTCGGCTTGAACAGCTTTTTAAAAATTTTATTGATTTTTTTTTTTACAGAGAGGAAGGGAGAGGGATAGAGAGTTAGAAACATCAGTGAAACATTGATCAGCTGCCTCCTGCACACCCCCTACTGGGGATGTGCATGCAATCAAGGTACATGCCCTTGACCAGAACGGAACCTGGGATCCTTCAGTCCGCAGGCCGACACTCTATCCACTGAGCCAAACCAGTTAGGGCTATATATATTTTTTAAAAAGAGTACATACTAGCAACATGACTTATCACTGTTGATGTTGACCTTTAATCACCTGGCTGAGGTCGTGTTTGTTTGCCCATTTTCCAACTGACTTTTATACCAGAGAAACAATGTAAGGGAGGGAAGGCCTCCGACTCTACCTGTGACAACCCTTTAAGGTCACTGTTCAGAAGTGTAGCCACAGCAAGCAGACAGCTCACATACAGAGAGCATCGTACGTGCCAGGCCTGTGACAAGCACCCGACCACGATTTCATTTGTCCCCACCACAATCCCCAGGGGTGGGGAGGCGGGCGAAATCATTCTGCGCATGCTACGGAGAAGGGGGCTTTTGAGGCCTCACAGCCAGGAGCCCACATCTGCTCAGCACTGCTCTGAGCTGCGGGTGCCCGGAGTGAAGGTGAGGAGCCCTGGTGACGGGGCCTCCGCTCCCGAGAAGACAGCAGAGACCAGAGACAAGCAATGCTTCCCCTCAGGGCCCAAACCGGAGCTCTCGCCAGAGGCCAACTCACTCGAGTCTGAGTGTTCTCAGTGGCAAATACCCACATGCCTACAGGTTAAAACAACCAGGCCAAACAGAGAGAGTGCACTGGGGCAACGTATCCAAAGCCGAGAGAAATAAAATTGGCAGGAAAATGGCTAGAAAAATGGGGGAGGGGTCATTTTCTTGACGGTATCAGATCTTTGGATCCTGTATATGCTGTACTTAAACAGTTCCTTACTGATGGATGGTGATCATGTTTCCCACTTGTAACTACAGTGGGGCCTTGACTTACGAGTGTACCGACTAACGAGTTTTTCGAGATACCAGCCGTCTCTCCGCCGATTTTTTGCTTTGAGTTGCGAGCTAAAATTCGGGTTACGAGCCAGCTTCAGATACCCCACCGCTAGTTGGTGCAGCGAACGTCACAGGAACGCCACATCAGCCCAGCACCACGTGTCTCACTCGTTCACTTTTTGATTTGACATACGAGTAATTTGAGTTATGAGCTCCGTCACGGAACGAATTAAACTCGTAAGTCAAGGCCCCACTGTATTACAATGTAGTTATGATATCTATGTATCTATAACTTTCTACAACCAATGTTAGTATATTCCTGAAACTAAGTCATAAGGTAGTCGTTTAAATCTGATACACATGACCAGATCCCTCCTAAAAGCTTATAGCTGTATATTTCCACTAACAGTACAGATCACCCATCTTCTCGGGTCATCATTGCCGGATGTCATCTTTTTATGACGTTTTTTCTTTTTTTTTAATGAGAAAGTTTATTCTATATATATAAATTGACTCGTGCATGTGCGATATACATATAAAGCTCTCACTGGCGCCAATTGCATGCATGTCTTGATCTGTCATTGTTGATTGTGAATCTGGTTGACACTTCTATTATAGAGAAAGGGCAAATAGTGATATTAAAATATTTATTCTAATTAACTTCCTTTCAATGTGCACAAATCTGTGCACTGGGCCACTAGTGTGTGTGTGTGTGTATTTTTTTTTAAAAAAAGGAAGAAAAAGAAACATCAACAAAGAATCATTGAATCATTGATGGGCTGTCTCCTGCATGTCCCACACGTGCCCTGACCGGGAATCGAACTGTGACCTCCTAGTTCACAGGTTGATGCTCAACCACTGAGCCATGCCAGCCAGGCTAGATTTATTTATTTATTTATTTATTTATTTATTTTTAAATATATACATATGATTCATGTCATTTGCCCAATTTTCTTGTTTTATAAGAGCTCCTTCTATATTATGGATATCAGTTCTTCATTAAGTATTGCAAATATTTTTATCAGTCTGTCATGCATGTATCATCTTTTTCTCCATATAAAAGTTTTTCCTTTTCAGTTGGGTCAAGTGTTTTCTCCTACAGCTTCAAAGTCTCACATCTCATGTAATACAACTTCCCCTACTCTCTCTGCAGTCGTCCGTCCCAGCTCATGAACAACTCTGATCTTTACCCACCCGCTGTCCAGCTTTCCAAGGCAGGGCTTGGCCTCTCGTTGTCCCCATGCCAGCCTGGACCATGGAGCTGCTGGGTGCCCGGCCCCAGCCTCAAGTTCTTCTCCAGCTCAGCTGCCACCCGGGGGGCTGCGACCTGGATGGCATCCTGGATGCTGTGCAGGTCCCACTGGGTCCTCAGGAGGGCATCCTCCAGGGTGAAGAAGCCATCTCGCGTGCGCCGCACGTGGGAGCAGACAGCGGTGGTCTTCAGCTCCAGGCCGATTTCATGCACCAGTCTCCGCAGCTGCTTCTGCGTCTCGTGCATGCACTGCACCTCTGCCAGCAACATGCAAAGACAGACACGGGGTCAGGAGCACAGCCTCGGGTGTCCGCTGATCTAGATCCACACCCCCTGGTATCTCCTGGCTGTGAAATAACCTTAGCAAAACACCTTAGTTCTCCAGGGCTCTGCTATTCAAGTGTTGCCTAAGGACCACCCTGTAGGGAAAGACTGTTAGACAAAATCTCAGGCCCTACCCAGACCTGCTGAGTCAGAATGTGCCTTGTAAGAAGACCCCCAGGTGATGTGTGGGCAGGTCGAAGCGCTGCTCTAAGACTTGGTTTGCTCATCTATAAAATGGGTGGCTATGAGGAGTCCAAGGGATAATTGATACTATCAGGTGCTTAGCATGATGAAAGCCTTGGTTAGTGCCCAAGAAATGGAGCCCTCGTTAATATGACCAGTGGAGAAGAAAGCAGTGTGTGTGTGTGTGTGTGTGTGTGTGTGTGTGTGTGTGCGCGCGCGCGGGGGGTGGGGGAGGAAGCTGGGTGGGACAGGGGAAGCAGAATGCTGTCTGATGGCCCACATCTACTTGAAGCAGTGGGTGGCTCTGGAAGTGAGCCGCTAAACGTAACAGTTGCTTGTTAAGTTCTGGCTTCAAAGGGTGACTTGGCAGAAGACAGGACAATATTTGTTCTGTGTGCCTATGACCGGCCAAGTCCAGCCCAGGGCTGGGAAGGACGTCAGTCCTTGCTGCCTTGGCCAGCAGAGTTCAGGGCTGGCATGTGCCGGCCTCTGCAAGAGCATTCCGTGGAGTCCCATCTCCCTGCTCCAACTTCCTGGGGCAACTTACCTAAGAGGAATTCTGGAGGCACAAAGTGGAGGCATCGGATGCCAGTTATCAGCATCGGGGACTTGTTCATGGGCCGGATCAAGCCTTTCACGGCCATCTCGTAGGCCTCCTGGGTCTGCAGATCGAGGTTGGAGTACCTGGGATCAGGAGGTGGACACACTTGGGTGGCTGGCGTGGGTTGGGGAACTGGGTTGATGCTTATTAGCCCTGGCCCTGCCCACTCCTGAAGCTCTTCATGCCTCCCCATCTCCCCTTCCCCTCCAGGGGCCCCTTCAGCAGCTGTTTTCTGCCCTTCCAAGCTGTAAATGTAGCCTGTCCTCCTCTGCACTCTGCCGACTTCAGCATCACACGAGTGCTGCCTGCTCCTGCTCCCTGGCTCTGTGCCATGATGCAGGCCTGTGGCTGCCTCTTCATTAGCTCACACGCTCTCTAGGAGAACAGCTGGTGTCTCATTCCCCTCGGTTTCCCCAAGGCCTGGCCTATGACCCAACCCAGAAGCACTTCTGCATGCTGTGGAAGGAGTGAATGGTTCATGTCTGGTTTCAGGCTCTGAAAAGATTCGTGGAATCTGCCCCTGGGTTGGGCAGAGGCTAAGGGAGCCCTGTGGGCATTCAACTCTTGCTCTTCTGGCACCTCCTAGAGGGCCGTTTCAGGGAGGCGTGGGTGGAGCCCCACTTACGTCACCAGGGCCTTCTGATGGGAGCCTTGGATCACCGCCAGGATTCGATCCAGTTTTTCTCTGGTCACGTGGTCTGAAAAAGACAGGGATGGTTAGCACACAGGTGGGCAACAGCAACCTGGCCAACTCCCTCCCCCAAACCAGCCTCAGAATTTGAAGGGGATCCCAGAGCATACTCTGGTCCATTTGGGGGTTGAGAGGCCTTTGAGAATCTTATGGAAGTGTGGGCCCCTCTTCTCAGAAAGATACACATGAACTCAGCATGTTAAGGACACATTCAAGGAGCTGTGAGACTCTAGATTACTAACATTTTCCTCTGGAAATGAAGCTCAAAGATATAATCTGATTTTTGCCTAGTATTCAGGGATGGTGCCATCTGTCCAAACGCAGAAACAAGTGGGAAAAGTGGGAGTAACTATGGGGCAGGCCGCAGCAAAGCCCGGGGACACTCACAAACTCTGCTGGCAGGCTGATCCTGTGGCCCAGCTGGGACAAGTGCCAAAGGTTAGGGAGCAGTTGTAGTAGCCGAAGGCCTGCCAGCTTGGAAGGGCCTAGGCCTCTCATCCCTTCTGCCCGGCTTCTTTCATGCTGTTGTCTTACCTGGAATGCCCCTGCCTCCTCCTCTCATTTATAGCCAACTCAAATGCTGCCTCCTCCAGGAAGTCCTCCTGGAATATGTGGCTTTTTCTTCCTGGCTTCTGCCATCTGCAACTGGGTCTCTTTCTCACCATTTAATTTTCTTTGGTTTTTACATTATTTTTTAATTATGTAATTGATATATGAATCTTCTTTAAGAAATTTAAATCTGCATCCTGACCAATGTGGGTCAGTTAGTTGGGTATTATCCGTGCACTGAAAGGTTGCCAGTTTGATTCTGGTTAGGGCACATGCCTGGGTGGTGGGCTCAAATCCCAGTAGGAGGTATGCAGGAGGCAGCTGATGGACAATTCCCTCCCACATTGATGCTTCTCTCTCTCCCTCTCCCTTCCTCTCCTTCTAAAAAAAATCAATACAATAAAAAAAAAAAATCTTAAAAAAACAAAAAAGAAATTCAGATCCGCATCAACAAACATCTCTATCTCTGTTATCATCTCTATCATCGTCCACCCTCTATTCTCCAAATTCTGGCTTCCTTTTCCCCAGAAGCGTCAGCTTGGTAGTTGTCTTTAGATGCGTTCTGGATGCTGACGCACACCTACACATACACAGTGTTGTCTTGCCAGGCTTTAATCTGCCATGAAGGTGTAGTGTGTCTGCTCTCCTGTTAAGACTGAGTTCACTGTAGCTGGAGACCCATTTAATTTACTGTATGTCCTCCCAGTGCCTAGAACATGGCTGGTGCTCAAAAACATATGCCAAATAAACAAATGCAATGATTTTTTTTTTTTTTTTTTTGACAGAGAGGAGAGGAGAGGGAGAGAGAAACACCGATTTGTTGTTCCTCTTATACATGTATTCATTGGTTGATTTTGAATGTGCACTGACCAGGGATCAAACCCACGACCTAAGCATATCAGGACGACGCTCTAACCAGCTAAGCTATCTGGCCAGAACAAACACGATAAATTATAGAGAGTGTTAGAACATGGTGAGAGTAAGTGAAGAACGGGCCATCCACACCCCACCCAACCATTCATTCATCCATCTGTCCCTACCTATGCACCATCCCCCATCCCCCATCCAACAAGCACCTCCCACGTCCCAGACCCTGAGCTGTGTGTGACCACAGGAGTGAAATTAGTTTCTACTCTCATGGGTATCAATCTGGTGGGGAGATGGGTTTTAAATAGCTAGTAATCACTAGTTAATTACTATTCTGAGAGTCCATCTAGTCCACGTATAAGGGCTAGAAAAGCTTCCCTGGGGAAGTGACATTTAAACCAGGTGAAGAGGCACAAGGGAACACAGGGCAATCCTGGCAGAACGATGTGTCCAAAGCCCCCCCAATAGCAGCCCGAGCTTGGTGTGTCTAAGAGACTGGCAGGGAGGAATCAAGGGAAAGCAAATGCGGAGGCAGCCTCAGCTGCTCCTCCACACGCCCTGGGCTCCCAGGGGCTCTCACCATATGTTGTCTTCTCCACCAGCCGCCCGTCCTCGCGGAAGTCATCCGTGGCTTTGCCCAGGAGGCCGCGAACCGTGTAATCCTGCGAGGACAGGGAGGGGAAGACCCAGTTGTGTCCCTGCTCGGAGCCTCAGCACTGAGGGAGGTGCTGGGCTGAGACTGGGGGTGGGGCCATTAGGTCCTCAGGGAGCTCAGACGCTCAGTCCCTGCCTGGCTGCCCACTGCCCCCAGGGGAACGATGCTGGACTTTCCTACGACAGTCAGGACTGGCAGCCCACAAAGGGCACTGAAGGACACTCCACGCCTCTCCACTCCAGCAACCTGACAATGTCACGCCGGCCCCCTGCTAGCACGCCCTGTGGGCTTCCTTCCACCCCCCCCCCGAAGTATGACCCACGCAGCTGAATGCCTCTGCCACAACTCAGAGTAACGATGACAACGATGGTAGAGACGGTGACAACAGTGACACTGATGGACATTTACCATGGGCTACGTGGCATGTGGGCACTAACTTTACCTTCAAAGTGACCCCAATGCAGAAGAGGAACTATTATCGTTCCCATTTAAGAAATGAGGAGCGGAGGCACACAGATGTGAAGTAACCCACCCAAGGACCCATAGCTGGCACAGGGAGAAGCTGGTTTTGGCTCCAGAGTTTGTGCTCTGAACCATTAAAAACATGGACCTTCTAACATGACACCTATTGCACACGCTCGTGGTGCCAGATCGCCCCGATGCCTAGACAGTGACATCCACCTCTTGGTCTCGGGGAGAGAATGAAGTGGTGTCCGGATCAGGCTCCGGTGTCGGACAGATCCCGGTCCAAACTCCAGCTCTGTCCCTTTCAGGCTACACGACCTGAGCAAGTGACATCCTCTCTCTGAGTTCTCTCGTCTGTAAAATGGGTTAACCACAGATCCCACTTTGCAGGGAAGCAGTGAGGCGCTCACGAGGGAGTCCACGTACAGTGCTCAGCACAGAGCAGCCAGCATGCAATAGTGCCAGCTGTCACTGTTACGTTGCTGTTAGTCTTCCATTGCATGTGACCATAAAAACATGCTTACTTATGGCCTGGATGTTCCCAATGGAATCCTCTCAGCTTCAGAATCCTGCCAGTGCCCCCAGGGAAAGGACCAGAGGATACGCAGGCTGTCCCCAGCCCCGGTACCTTGGTGAGGTGTGCGTTGTACATGTCGGTGAGGAGACTGCGTCCCTGTCCCACGCCGAGCACTGAAAGGAACCCAGGCTGATCTCACACCTGCCCCCCCCCTTCCCGTTTCCCTGGGACCCCATCCCCCACAACCGCCATCATAATATTCCCGCCTCCAATGCTGCTGAAGCCAGCGGGGGGCAAGGACAGCTTCTTCTACAGGAAGCAAGTGAGCTCCTCTGGGTATAAATGACAATGTGGATTTCTGGGTCCCACCATGTGCACTGGCTCTGACTTGTGGTGGGGAGGGGCCGAGGATGCTCAGCCAGCTCTCTAGGGGTTTCTTTTCTTTTCTTTTTTTTTTTTTTTAAAGGATTTTAAATTGATCTTTAGGGAGAGAGGAAAGGAGAGAGAGAGAGAGAGAGAGAGAGAGAGAGAGAGAGAGAGAGAGAGAGAGAAACATGGATATGAGAGGAAAACACTGACAGGCTGCCTCCCGCATGCCCTACTGGGATCAAGCCTGCAACCTGGGCACGTGCCCTGACCAGGAATTGAACGTGCAACCTTTTGGTGTACCGGATGACAACCAAACATCCGAGCCGCACCGGCCTGGGCTTTCCAGGGCTTTCTGATGCCTCAAAAGTATGAGACCGCTGGCCCAGTCACAGACCTGCACTTACGAGACCGCTGGCCCAGTCACAGACCTGCACTTAAGTCAGGAGAGGCCCTAAGCATGTCCTTAGCCTCCTTGGGCTTCAGGCTCTTCATCAGTAAAGTGGGGAGAAAAACACTGCCCGGCCCCTGTCATGAAGACTGAGGCCACGCACAGGAAGCAGTCAGCACAAAGGAAGGGCCTCATAAATGAGGGTATTGTGGCCACTCCCTGCCTTTCCCCGCTGTTTCTCCGTCTGGCTGAAGGAGAGAATGGTCCTCCATTCACTCCTAGACAGGGAGGAGGCATGAGATCATGTCTGCCTGCCAGTGCCCCGGGAAGCAAGACAAGGGGACTGTGACTGTCGCGTATGGATGCAGACACCGCCTGACCCTGGGGACACAGATGGCTCATGACTCAGGGCTTTGTGTGTCCAGATCCTCGCTGGTGAGGCCAGAGTCACATGCTTGGCGACCCCACGAAAGCAATGATGGTTTCCCCTCTCTGGACCGAGGGCATTCACTAGCCATGTGACCGAGGACAAGTCACCTAAGCTGTGGGACCTTACTTGCTTCATTCATAAAATCATACAACATCTACCTAGTAAGGTTGCTGTGGTGAATGGCTTTGTACCACATCACATGCAGAGATCACTTGATAAAAGGTGGGCGACTGTGACTCCCCCAGCCCCTTCCACCAGCTGGTTGGATTTGGGGCGAGAATCAGGGGAGAATAGGGGTGAGAAATGGATGTCAGGTTAAAAGGGGGCTGGGCTTCTGGTATCTCCCAATCCTCCCCCAAGCCTATATCACTGCACCCCCCCACCTACCAAGCACCCCAGATGCCTGGGCATCCAGTCGGTGTCCCACACCAATCTTCAGGCTGGTGAATGCTGGTCCACGTACTAGAAAGAAACAGACGAGGTACCTTTCCTCAACAAATAAGGATGGCTCCGGGCTGTGTGAAGACCTCATTCCTAGTATGTAGCCTTATCGCTACAGGTTGGACCTCATAGGATTGTGGTGAAGTTTCAATGAGATGGTATTTGGAAAAAGCTTAACACAGTATCTAGTACAAAGCAGATCCTTATTATACCATACTGTGATTGTTATACGGTAGCGTCACTGAATATCACTGCTGAAGAGGTTTAGAGGTTCCCCTTGGTCATCCTATAGCCTCCCAACATCTTCTACGTCCTTAGGACTTCCACCCGAGGGTCTCAATTCCTACCTGGAGTCTGGGAACAGTAAAAGGGCCAGCAAACCACAGTCCACAGGACAAATCCTCAAGCCTGTTTTTATAATGGCCCATGAGTTAAATATTTCCCCCCATTTTTTACAGATTCAAAAAAAAAAAAAGCAAGTGAATACTAGTTTGTGACATATGAAAATTATGTGAAATTCAAAGCTCAGTGTCCATAAATAAAAGTTTGATTGAAATACAGCCAGGCTCACAGCTTCACATACTGCTTACAGCTGCTTTTGCACTATGATGGCAGAATTGAACCTGCAAAGCCTGAATCATTTCCTATCTGGAAAATTTACATATTCCTTGCCAAACACTTCAACCCCACTGCGGCCCTCCGAAGGTCTGGGACGGGAGTCTGAGTACTGACTCCGGACAGAGATTTCCTGCGAAGGGACCCCGACCCTAGCCCCTGCCTGAATGCGCCTTACCCAGCGGATGGTTGGTGAGGGTGGGCACACTGGTGGCTGTGAGGGTCAGCTCCTTGTCTTCGCTGCCTTCCACAGGGCCCAGCAGAAAGCGAACACGCTGCTCAGGGGCAGGCGGCTTCCCAGCATTGAGACCTGTGCATACACAGGTAGAGGACATCGTGTCAATTCTGTCCCAACGCCTGGGTAGGAGGGGCAGGGAAGTACGGAGATGCGGGAGACGGACGAGGACCCAGGGCGCGCACCAGCGAACAGAGCAGTTAGGAAACAGACGAGTTCAAATCCCAACCCTATGACTTATTTACTGTTTACCCATGTGAACACAAGGGAAGGTGAGGCGTAACCCATGATTAGAAAAGCGCTCTCCCAGGCGACTAGATCACATGACTTCATTTTGCTAGATCAGAAGCGGGAAAGGATTCCCGGGAGAACGGGCGCGCAATCGGGAGTCCGGCTAGAGGCACTCACCCTTCAGAAGCTGCAGCTCCACCGTATCCCGCAGGTGCTTCCAGTGCAGCCCGGGGGGCTTGTAGGTCGCAAAGAGCCCGTGCAGCCGGGCCACGCCGGCGGCCCCCATGTCCGCGCCGGCGGCGCAGGTTCCGGGCGAAGCTGGACGGGCGGAAGTGCCGTACGGTCCCGCACCAAATAGAGTCCGTACAATGGGCGCCGGCAGGTTTCGCAGCCGGAAGTGGTTCTCCCCCTAACATCCTCGGGGGAACGGTGTGCGGAAAAGGAAGTGTGTTCCGTCGCCGGAGCCCTGTGCTAGCGGGTCGGACGGGGACACCCTTCCCGGGGGTGAAGTGAAATGGGGAGTTTTCATCCGTAGAGGAGGTGGCAGACAGCTCGCCTGGGTTCACTTCTCATATTAGCGATAGGGCCCTTTCCTCGGCCCCATTCCGCCGCCTCCCAAAGGCCCTACTCAGAGGAATAGGCTCGAGTTCTTCTGACCTTCAGGCGCTCGGTCGCCAAGGAAGTTTGGAGCAGCGGCCCTGCCCCGCCGGTCCTCCTGCGACCTGCCGGCGGCGCGTGCTGTCATGGTGACGCTGCTGCGCGGGACCCTGCGTCCCCTCCGTCTGTTCCAAGCTCTCCCTGGCCCCGCTGCAGGCAAGTGGCGGAGACGGAGGGAAGTCTTGGGGTCCCCCCCACACTTTTGACCCCGGCCTTCTTGCCCCGCAGATGTGCCGCTCCGAGCCGCGAGCCAGGGCACCGGCCTGCTCTACCCCGAACACATCCCCACGTCCCTGCTGCAGAAGGTGCTGTTGACCGCCGGCTCTGCGGGCATGGCTCTCTACAACCCGTATCGCCACGGTAAGGCCGCCCATGCCCCGCGCTCCCTGGGAGGCCCTGGCCTTGGAAGCCTGGGCAGGCCCCGGCCTCTGTCAAAATTTCCGTTTCCTACGGGTCACTGGGGAATAGACTAGGTCTGGGTACCCAAGGCTGGAGGCTGTACCTCATAATCACCCGGTACATTCGTAAGAATGCAGATGCCTGGGTTCCGTATCTGTCAGGTGTGGAGAGGGCAGGAGGAAGGGGCCTGGAATCTGAGCCTCTCTCCCCTTTGAAACGACTTCCCAGGATATTCTGTCATCCAGCCACAGTGACAACCTCTGGACTAAATAGGTGATTTAAAAGCACCATTGAATGATAACACCTACCAGAAATTAAACTTTATAAGATTCGGGACCATGACTGCCCTTTTCCCACAGTATTGGCAGTATTGTGGATGGTGCCTGGCCCATAATAAATGCTCGATAAATGTTTGCTGGATGTATAACTAGAGCATCCTAAGATTCTGCCATGCCTTCCTCAGCCCTTAAGTCTGGAGAGTACTATTACTCCTGCTAATAAAAATGATAATGCTGACTGCTCAACTGAGCACATCTGGCTGCTCACTGTGCTAAGTGCTTTATTATGCATGATGCTTTTGATTTCTACATTAACCCTATTAGAAAGCTGTTACCTGCACAAACTAGGACACTGGGGCTTGGAAATGGGAAGCAGTTTATACAAGATCACCTAGATAGTGACTGCACCTGGACTCAAACCCACCACTCTGATACCAAAGCTTGTGCCTGTCAATGGAGACATTATATTGTGTTATGATCGTGGATGTGAAAGTGATCTGGGAAGCACTGTGCTAACTGGAGCTACCTCATCCCAGCAGATTAATAACAGCAGTACTAATAAGTATAGCTGTATTGAGCCCTACCTCTGTGCAGGATGATTTGCTAAGTGTTTAACATGAATCCTCATAACTAAGAGGTAGATCTTTATCAGTTAGGAAATTGAGACTCAGACCAGGTCAGGTAACTTACCTAATCAGATCCTGTATTTGTCCCAATTTCCTTTCAGACATGGTTGCAGTTCTAGGGGAAACCACAGGGTGCCGTGCCCTGAGGGTCCTCAGGGACCAGATGAAGAGGGATTCAGAGGGTGCCCAGATCCTGCAGTAGGTTCCAGCTCTGCCTGGGGGTGTCGGTTGGGAATATTCTGTGGGGATCTCGAGTCCCATTGTGTCAGTCCTGTTCCTCTAGGGAGCTCTCCATATCCTGGCTGTGGATGGCTGCACAGGCTGGGCACTGCTTAACTCCAGGGATGCAATTCATATAGACACTACGATGACCCCTGGGTAGTGCCATCTGGTGGCCTCGGCCCAGTTCCAGCCACAGGGCTCTATACCCTTTGTAAGCTTCCATAGCACGTGCTAACTGTACCCTCACCCCTTCCTGCAGTGCCCTTGGTGAGTACCCTGATCACCTGTGAGGTCTGCCTGCCTAGACTGTGCCCTTATAGGCAGGAAGGGCAACCTCTCCTCAGTCCCTGCCACCTCGAAGAAGCTCCCTCGAAGAAGTCCCCACTGATGCTCTGCCCTTTCCCCTCTCTCAGCCTTGTTCCAGCAGAACCTTTTACCTGACTTTGCTGGTGCCCGCCCAATACCTAGGCCCTGCCTTCTGCCTTGCAGGGAGCGTCCCCGGATCTCTCTGTCCACCCTTGACCTGGACAAGCTCCGGAGCCTGCCTGAGGGCTCCCTCGGCCGCGAGTATCTCCGTTTCCTAGATGTGAATGTGAGTATCCAGGTTCTGTGCCTTTGGCTCTCACCAGGAAGGTCAGATGAGAGGCATGGGAGTGGCGTCCCAAGAAAGGAGGAACCCTAAGTTGCCACCGTGGGCAGGAGTGCTTTTCAGTCTCTTGTGCCAAGCCTTTGTCATTTTCTCTGGGACAGGTGAATGGGCCAGTAACATCGCTCCAACCAAGAATCCTGGCTAGCATTTATTAACCTCTACTGTATTCCAGATGCCAGGCTCACATGATCTTGCTGAATCCTCCCAACAATGCCGTCAAGTACGTTTTATCATGCCCTCTGAAGAGATGAAACTGAGGCTCAGAGGAGTTAAGCAACTTGCTGGCTTCATACAGCCAGTGTTAATGGAAGCAGCATACTCACCCAGATCACGCTGTTAACTGCTGCCCTGTGTCCCCCTGTCCCAGACACTATGCTTCCCTAGGGTATGGCACGTTATGGCACTCTCCAGCCCCAGGTGGCGGCGGGGGGGCGGGGGGGTCCCAGTTACTGAGGAACTCATTCATTTGTTTAGCATCTGGTATGTGTCATCACATTGTTCCAGGTCCTGGGGACCTAATAGTGAACTAGCCAGGCAAGATCTCTGCCCTCATGGACCTAATATTCTGGTTGGGGAGGTAAATAAAACAGTAAAAGAAAGAAAGAGTCATATAAAAATTCACGTAAAATATTTATTGAGTACTTAGCACTTACCAGGCACCGTTCATAGTAATTGGGATGCAGTGAATAAAACCGCCGAGAGCCCACCTTGTGGAGCTCGCATTCTAGCAGATGGTGCTGTGAGGACAGCTATCGTCAAGACAGGACAAGGGTGGGCGTGGGGTTGGCCGCTTTCCATACGGTGGTCCTGGGAGACTAAGAAGAGGAGGAGGAGCCAGCCCCGAGGAAACACAGGAGGACCATCCCAAGGGATTGGCAAGTGGGAGGCTCTGTGAGTTTCAGGAGAGGGAGACCCACCCACACACGTGGCCACAGAGGAGAGAGTCGGGGGAGGCAGCCATGGGCGGGGAGGTCAGCCGGGCCAGGCCCTGCCAGCCATGGGAAGGAGTCTGCATTTTGTAATAGGAGCAATAGGAAGCCCCTGAGGGTTTCAAGCAGGAGAGTAACATCTGATTTATAAAAGCACCTTAGGATACCGCCCCTGCCCCTCCCCCCACCCGCCAACATGTACACATCCCCACAAAGGACCTCTGAAGTGCTGCCCAGCCCAGCGCAGGAGCCAACCAGGCTGGGGGAGGTGACGGAGTGAGTAAAGGTTCCTTTGGAATTGGGTTTCTCAACCTTGGCACTATTGACTTTTTGGGCTGGACAATTCATTGTTGTGGGGCTGTGCTGTGCATTGTAGAATGTTCAGCAGCCTCCCTGGCCTCTGCCCACCAGATGACAGTAGCACCTCCCTAAGTCCTAACTACCACAAATGTCTCCAGACTTTGCAAATGTCCCCCGGTGGACAGTCAAGAACCACTGCTTAGGTTATTATCCTTGAAAAAATAACCTGCCCCCATACGTTCCTGGCACCTGCCCCCACCCCAGTTTAGACCCTCTCTCTCACACTTCACCAGGATGCAAATTATTTCATCAATGGGAAATGCACCAAGGTAACCTGCCCCTAGTGTCAGCCAGGGAGGGACAGCCTTCTGAAGTTCCCCCAGAGCCTTTTGTCCTATTACTGAGGAGGGGAGGGGACTGCAGGGCCTCCCTGGCACCTCGCCCAGTCACAGCCCCAGCTGTGCTAACAGCCCGAGCAGTTGTGACACTTCCAGAGAATGGGAACCAGCAGCCACAAAAGGTGAAGTAACACCTTTGTACCAGCAGAGATTTAGATCAAGGTTCAGAGTGAAGTCACCCACCCTGAGTGGACCTTGGTAAGGAGCGTGGTCAGTCATCCTTGTGGCATCAAGATTGTGAGGCATGAGCTTTGGAGTGAAGAGTAGGCTGAGCTAGAACCCTGCCTCCTCCCAGCTTTAGTGCCTGGGCGAGTCGTGTGGCCTTTCTGAGGCTCAGATTCCTTATCTGAGGAAAAGGACCTAATGTTTATCGTCCAGGGCACTGATACGGCTTATCAATAATGGACGTTAAAGCTGTTGGCCTTGGAATCCAGCAAACTTTGTTTCAAATCCTGGCTCAGCCATTTGATTAGTTGTGTGATCTTGGGCAAGTTACTTTATCTCTCTGAGCCTCATTTTTCTTTTTCTTTTAATTTTTTTTTTTTTTGTATTGATTTCAGAGAGGAAGGGAGAGAGAGATAGAAACATCAATGATGAGAGAGAACCATGGATTGGCTGACTCCAGCACACCCTTCCCTCCTGGGGGTCGAGCCAGCAACCCTGGAATCGAACCATGATCTCCCGGTTCATAGGTCCACGCTCAACCTCTGAGCCACAGCAGCCGGGCCCATTTTTCTTACCTGTATCTGAGGCTCGTAACAGGCTCCACCCCCTAGATGGTCACGAAGATTAAGTATGGTCATATATGTAAAGGACGTCACCCAGTGCAGGCACACAGTAGGGACTCAGGAACTCTAGCTGCTATTACTGTGATCACCTTCAGCTTC